TATTGTTCTGATCGGATCACTATAGCATATAGCTGCCATGCAAACTCGTCGAACAAAATTAAGTTCTTGTATGAAAAAAATGTTTGTTTGACATGTTATCTTTACGAAATTTGACAAGAATTATTGTTGATTATAGTGCTAAAATATCCGAGCATATTGTTCAGATTGGATCGCTATAGCTTATGGTTGTGATACAAACTGGTCGAACAAAATTATGTTCTTGTATGAAAAANTGTGATACAAACTGGTCGAACAAAATTATGTTCTTGTATGAAAAACATTTTTATTTGGCAAGATACCTTCAGGAAATTCAGCATAAGTATATTATTGTCTGAAGCTTTAAAATCACTAAATACATATCTACATATATGTATGTTTTTATGTAAATACATATGTGGCATATGCATATATGCAACCTTTTTAATAAGTAAACAATATTCTATTTTCAGCCACAAAGCAACGATAACATGTTTCACATGAAAATTTATACGAGTATGTAAAATGCACCTATTCATACACCATTAAATACATGCATACATATGCACTTACAACATGCCACAATTCTCGCCTATACACTCTGTCTACTCCACACCACACAGCAATCTACGCTTCGATCTCTTTTATTGCCATTTTCACTTCCAACACAGCCTGCAGCATTCGTGGCCCGACGGTCTGTGTGTGGAAGTGTTGTCGCARCATCTCCTTTCATTTTCATTTTCATTGCGTCTTTGCTCTTGACATCACATCGTCAGCATACTTTTGCATGTTTGCGCATGCATTTACATAAACTCACACATGCACACATAGATATATATGTACATATGTGCATCATCACTGGTGCATCACTGACCCTCTCAAATGCTTCCCGCTTCCGCAAACTGGCAATTGCAGCCAACTTCCCCTACAGCCGTGCGCCCGCCAACGACAACAGCTTTTTTTGAACGCACTGCCTTCTCTTTGCCAAACTCGCATCGTCTGCGCGCTCAATGCACTTATCAGCTTGGTGCATGTGTGCGCAAGCTCTCTCTCTGCCGCACGCTTTAACTCAGTGACGGCTTTTTTTTTTTTAACATATAGCATCTATAGGCGTTTTATGGCTTTTCATGCATTGTTTTCTTCCGTGCAAATGCAATTCAGCAGCGCCGCAAGCTAACTACCCTACGCTGAGCCGGCGCTCTGGCAAACAGCTTGCTTGCTCTCTGCGATATGGCAATTTCGAGCGGCTGAGTGCATTCTCGTGTTTCACAATTACAACAGCTCACAGCCAATCTGCTGGTCGGCGCTCAGTTGTTGCACATTCACATGCTCAGCGCCCTCGTGAGTGGCGCTGCACCTCRCCGACTACATGTCCTACCGCACCAATATTGYAAGTATGCCTCGTCACTAGCTGCGCGCTGGTGGCTGGGTCTGTGACGCAAAAGCCTCCCCATTGCAAGATCCCTAACCTACGCCACACGAGTTCTGTTGCGGCGGTTCTCTGAGGTCTCTGTGCAGCGTAACGAGGCGTGTGGTGTGTGCGAATGCATCTGTGTGTTKCCCGTAGCCGGAGGCATAAAAAAAACACRAGTAAAAATGGCAAAAAGCAAAAGTCCATAAAAAATCGCAGGGTTGCAGGCAGTGAAGTCAAGAGCAGGCTAAGGCAAAGAGTAAAAGGCAGCAAATCGSCTTGGAGTTATTGTAGTCTGGTTGTGTGCAATAAATRTGCAATTGCATTTATGTGTCTGCGATTTCGCATTTGGTCGTGCTTTTTCGCTTCTATAATATTTTCTACGTTTTATTGAATCGTTACTCCTCGTTTCTTAGTCTTTATTATTTCGACAGCTATATAGTACGTATTATTATGTGTCTTTATACTTTACTTTATATTTATTTTGTTTAAGAAATAATTTTTCTAATCAGAAGTTAGTTCTAAGGTTCGCTGGAACTATCCACAACTGGTCACTTTGTAGCTCAAAAATCGGTTATGTTAAATTATACTTCGTTAAATACCTTCGACAACTTCGAAAAGTTTATCAGGGCCCCCGAAAAATAGCTTYCTTTTATCTTTGCATTGAATCCTAACGATGAAGTATCTTGTAAAGAAACTTGAGAAACATGGCTGCCAGGAGGGTGGCTTTATGACAATGACCTAACCCAAAGGTATCTAAATGAGGTTACAAAGCAAGTAGAAAGAAACGGATTAGCCAAAATACAAATAAAACTGAGCTAGTTTTATTAACTGATCCAACCCCCTGATGATACTCTCCCATCGTTCGGAGGCTCTACGCTTCAACCAGTGGTCATTGCGAAGTAYTTGGGGTTGCTTGATATGAAGAGAGTGAAGAAGGCATCGGTCGCCTTAAAGAGGTAAGAAAAAATAATGCTAACTAAATAGCTAAAGCGTGTTCGAGGAGCGGCCCTTATCGCCATCTGTGATCCATTGAAAATAACCCTAATAATGTCAATCGAAGGAATTCTACACGTTCCACCTGGCGACATGGCTAGTACTTAGGTACTTCTCGGCGAAGGCTGCTATTACGCTTAGCGAAGTTAAATATATGAGGAGCCCCAAGCAGGAGCGCACTGAAATTCTCCACTGCTTCGATTGCATTCCTTACAATCAAGATCGCTGCAATGTAGAACTTTGTACTGGTGTTTCCTTCTCGTCTGCATGAAGGAGTGAGCTTTTTCATTGATGTTTTCTTCGGGAGCTCTCCATGAACTCAAGTTTCAGACTACGAGACCTCTTCAATTAGAMGTAGTAACSATCAAGGCAACATTAGATGTACTCSTATTGCTCCGAAGTACAGCTTCCTTCAGAACAGTAGGCATTAACTTCGATAGCCRACGACTATACTGGTTTTGAATTCGCTGACTGAGCTCTGAAAGCTAGACAAGAGGTGCATGRCCTCTTTAGCAAAAGCTTCAAGCTTCTYCCGTAGTAGACTTGAAAGGGTGTGCGGTCACAGCGGAGTCACCGGAAACTGTAAAGCCGATAAGCTTACTAGAGAATGAACCATTTCCCCAATTTCACGCAATTTAAAGTAAGTCGGTTTTCTGATGTCTACTTGAATTCAGGTGTTGGGCTTTTGGACCTATCGTGAGCTTAACAAACGCTGGTCAATAACCGGCGAGGTCTTTCTGGTGCAGAATGATCGATTAGAGATTCTTTGAGTTACTGATTCTAAGCAAAGTTGAACACGCTGTAAACGTAGGTGTTCAGACTGGACACTGTCCAATAAATTCACTCGTTTTGCGGATCAGAATACTTTCCCAAAACTGTGTGAAGAAAGACGGGGAGGAATAATCTTGCCTCTTCCTCCTCTATTASCTGGCTTTTGCGACACAGAGTTTGAAAAACCGAGTCCAATAAAATAATACATGTTCGGAGCCTCCTATTTACTCTGTAGACTGCGGACAGTTCGAATGTTGAATGCCAATGTCAATGTGGAATCTATAAATGTAGCTTCTAAAGCACCTAGGTCCACTAAGTATTTATTTGGGTCAGGTGGAAATTTAAGTTCTTTTGTCGTCTGTCTATTCATGAGTGAGTATCTGGTATAAGTATGTGGGTCCCTTTGTATGAGAAATGCCACCGTTGCTGCCGCATTTTGATGCTCTGGTTCCTCTCCGCTGTCTTTGCCGATACTGTTTTAGGCGCTGATAGCCGATATAATYGTTCGAGTTCAACTCCCTAGACGTCAATGGACGCCATACTGGGTAATACACTTCAGCAGAGTCGGTTGATATAGTTTGGAAAGCACTTATTACTCGAATGGTAGAAAGCCTATGCACTGCAATTATTTGTTTGGCGATCATTCTCGGTAGAGCATTATAMATTTKGATTGCTTTCGYGKAAGTTTACGCYAGTTGTTCTTMAAATTTTRATTTGGAATCCAATATTATTCCAAGATACTATGGTGAGCTCTATTTGTTCTTACACCTTCCTGGTGCTTATGAGTAAAACTTTTGTTTTGAAACTCATTAGCATAGAACATTTAAGCACTCATTATATTTCTTTGGTCGACAAATTGTTTAGCCACTGCTACCATCRTGAGATCGTCCGCATTTGCTATTAGTTTCTCGTCTGTTGATTGCTATCTTCTTAACACCCGTCATATATTATATAAGATGACCTAATGCCTCCACTCGATATAGAGTAGCTCTTGGTGCCTTCGTTCATATCAAATATCAGCTTTCTGTTTTTAGAATAACTCGTTATAACGTTTATGAGGTGTTCAGGGCACCGTACTTGATCCAGACCTTTCATTGTGTGTGCTCATTTCCAGAGTAATCAGGTTATAAAAACAGTTAGTCTATCTCGTGAATTAAAACTGCTTCCATAATGATTTACTTTTCTTTTTTTTCCCTACAATTTATTCACTTCATTCTCTCTTCTCTTACAGCTCCGTAGTGGCCACCGAAGGCGGAATATTCCGAAGTTCCAGTCAAGTCGTTTTATATATAGATATTATATACATACGGTACATATGTATATGTAGGTGGGATGTGCAATTGTTGGCCATTAAAACGCTCACATTTTTGTGGCCGCTTGTGTTTTGAAAATCTATGATAAATGCAATTTTCCAGCGCGAAATGTATGAATCGGCAACCGCAAAGTTAAAAAGTACGCAATAAAATTGCCTCGCAAAGGCAAGAAAGTGCTTGTGGTGTCTGCAATTTGATTACAACTACACTTGCAACAAAGCTACCATGCACCGGTGAGTAATTTTTGGAGAACCGCGTCTAGGCAAGCAGGTTTTGTGTGAATAATGTAAATAAGTATGTGCGAAAATATACACAAAAAGCAAAAGAAAAATGCATTTAATTGCAGTGCGCATGTATTGAGCTCATATAAAGTTGCAAAATGCATATGATTAAAAAATCAAAATGACATTCTTGATGTGAGAAGTTTGTAGAAAAAAATTAGAAAACGCAACAACAAAGGTGTAATAAAGCAAAGCAATAATCAAAGAACATTAATTTCTCAATTATAAATTTCAAAAGTTGTGCAATAAAAATATGAACGTATTATCACAGAGAAGCTTGAACGAGCACAATTACGAATTCCACCCTGTTTAAGGTGTATTACAAAGACTCAGAGTTGACCACACAGATAGGTAAGTAAATTACGAGTATATGTATCGTCTTTCTAATAACGTTTGGTATCGAACGGCTCGGAGAAGAGCTTCTCGAACCTTTCGAAGCTTTTGGCATTGCTCAAAGTCAGCCGTATTGCTCGGCTATGTAAGCCGTATTAGTTTTGGAGGATGGAACTATTAGTAAGCAGGATGAAGTCATCTGTAAAGTTTGAGGCAATTGAGAAAAGTTCTCTGAGCGCCATTCACTTGGGAGTGGCCAGAAACGATTCTTTTACATATGGTTCCAGCAGCTCACGACTTTCGATCTTAAACCAGATATCTTCTCCATAGCTAAAAAACATCCGTTTGGATTAGCAAAGTCTCTCGCGGATGTCGAAGTAATGCCCGATCACAGCTTAGACTCAAATGCGGCCAATAATGGTTTCCTTGTGGATCTGAGTGAGTGTCAACTAAGCACAACAAATTTTTTAGTTCTTTCGACAGGACATTTTTTTTATATTGGAACATTGGTATATATGCCGTCTAAGCGTTCGATACCTAAAGTCCTTACATTTCTTCGTCGTCGTTCCATATAATTAAAATTTCGCTTTCCTACGTGTAGAAGACTTTTGATCCGTACAACATACAAACTGCCCAAAAGTAAATTGCTTAAAGAAACCCAGATTGATGTTGGTTGGGTTCAACAATTACCTCAACTTGAGGATCACACTATAGATACAGTTCTTTGTGTATCTTTAAAATAAAACTCCGGTAATCAGATCATATAATTCAACAAAGCACATTAAGGCCGATATAAATCGTGTTAGTGGTTCTATTCCCACTAGTTTTTTATGATTAAAAGTGTGAGCTCCGAGGTTTTTAAGCCAGTTCGTGATGAGATGTTTAACTCTTGATCTCGCGACGGCCGAAAAAAGTATTGACATAAAATATTTCTATCTTGTCTTCATCCAAAGAGTTTCTAGAACAGGAAACCCATGATATAATCTACCTTAACACGTGGACACCGACAGAGCAAAGATCAGTTAGAACTCCTACAAGTAGGAAAAGCCTAAGCTTGTTCAGACCGAAGACTTTATTAGATTAATTTACTAGTAGCTAGTCAATAGATTCATTTACTATGATGAAATTCTGAGTGGTATGGTGGAAGATTGACCATTTATATCCCTTACAACTAAGGAAAACCTAGTGGTACTGAAGGCGACGAGCTCATTAAACTCACTCACGACTTCCCGAAAGCCGGTAAAGGTCCCTAGAGTTTAAGTACGTCGTACTAAAATACAAGAAGATAATAAAACACCGATCCGTTCCCATTATATTAAATATAATAATAAAATGACAGTCCTTGGCTGGATAAAAAAACAGGACCGTTCCGGTTACTTAGACCTAGCTGTCGTGGGAATGGTCCCAGTAAAGTAACTCGATGCAGTTGGTAGCAAAGTTAGGCTTAACTAACTATGAACACACGCCACTCGCCACTCTACTATCAACGTGGATAGTCACTTTTCAGAAGGAGGTAAATTTGATGGCATCTTAATGGCAGAAGTCCGCCTTGAAAAACGTCTCTATATGATGGATAGTTCCTTACAGTGTAATGAGCCACGAACATTATCCGGCTCCCTTTTTCACTCACCCATTTCTCTCATTAGCATGCAGCAGAGAAAATATCGCCAGAGTTCGGCTTGGCGACTCCATGATCAATAGGCTCCGGTATGAAGTCAAAGTTCGAAAAGATTCCTGAATGTTCAGACACAATGTTCAGATAGATGTATGTACCTATTAACCAATTATGTTGGTATGAAACTTCATCTTTTTACCCGGCTTCTACTATTGAGACAGCAAAGTCAATCTAAACTTATGATGGTAAATTTAGTTCACCCAATTTCTGCTTGCTGATATCTAAAGCTACCAATAATATTATCATGACATTTGCCACATTTAGATAGAATCGTTTTTATTGGGTGGTACCTTGGCAGGTATCTTAAGACGCATGTTTTTCTCCTTCGTTATCACTTTAAGATTTTGCCAAAGGCGAAGCTTCCCTAGTCCAATATTTAACATATCCCAGATTTATATAAATATATAAAAAAGAAATTATACTGGCCCATGAGGGGATCGAACCCGCGACCTTCGCGTTATTAGCACGACGCTCTAACCAACTGAGCTAATGGGCCATATAAACACTCAGTGACAAATGTATTATTTAAGCTAGTAACCAATACTCTACTCAACATTTTCTATTACTTAAATGCATATATAAGATTTTGTGAGGCACTCAATAAGCTACGAGCTTTTACATGAACATCACATATAAAAGCAACATTGAAAGAGTGTAACTTATAAGTATTCCCTGCCACTAGCAACAAATATGTTTTCTGACACTGTTTGTTCAGCTGCCCGGCTAGCTCAGTCGGTAGAGCATGAGACTCTTAATCTCAGGGTCGTGGGTTCGAGCCCCACGTTGGGCGCAATTGTTTCTTTTTATTACTATTCCATATTATTATAGTTGAACCCTCTAGCCATAAACGTTTTATTTTTCTTTCCCTTATCTAAAATTTGAAAAAAGATGGACTCGTGTCGTTTACTGTACAGTTAGTGTCATTCCAAGTTAGTTACTGAGGACAGGGATAAATGGAGACTCTCATTGTATACCTTTTCGTTTGACAGTCACTTTGACAAAATCAATTTTTATCGAGCTCAGGGAACTAAAGGCTGTAGTTTGACGTACTCTTGACAGCCTAAGTTCCTAGCTTAGCTACGAATACTCAATAAACAGACCCTTACCAAGAGGGACAGAAGAGAAGCGCTAGGCTTTAAAGATCTGAAACATTGTATGAATCTCCGATAGCAAGGTGAATAGGCACCACCTAAAATATACACTCAAAACCCCTTATGGGCTGCCTTGAGGAATCTAATCATGAGACGGAGGCAACAGTCCACGAGGAATTTTACAACGAAAGCCATTAGACATCCCAATTGCCAAGCTCATCCGGGTTCACAGATGGCGGATAGTGAACGGCCTGCTAGATTAGCTGTGAACCACAAATTCAATCAAGCAACGAAGTAGTACCGTGATTTTGACAGACGATTTGGAAACATTGAACTTGATCTGACGGCTGTGGCATTCTGCTACCTCAGGATGCAAATCTTGCAGTAATGGATTTCATAGTAATGTCGCAGACGCATACGTCCCATTAAAACCTTGGTAGGTCTTAAATACGTTCGATCCTGCGTTGTCAATATGTTGGCGGAACAAATCTCAAAAGTACAAACGGATGACAAATTGAATGCCTCCAGTTGGTAATTGAAAGGACAAGCCAATCAATATTTGCTTAAATCAGCGGTTGCTAATGCAGAAAAACATAAGTACCGAGGTTAAGCCTGGGATTTTTGAGTTGGATGAGCTCTTCGATATTATCTGTACCCATCATCGGAAATGGATAAAAGCAGAAAGGGATAGAAGACGCAGACACGCAACTAGATCCTACTGCTGATGTTTCAATGCAAGTGTGGCAGCACTTCCTTAATGGACTGCACTAAGCATAGTAGAAGAAGAATCAGTGAAAGAGAGCAAAGGCCCGGAAATACTGTGTCATAGAGAGTTAAAGGGAAATTAAACAGCAGGCAAGGCGAGATAAAAGCACAGGCCAAATCCCAGTCCACACAAGATGAGCAAGACAAGCTTAAGAAGCAAAAACGAGCAAACCAAACCAAAATACCGCCAAAAGTAGCGCTAATTAAACGGGCAGAAGGTCGTAATTAGGCTTCAAAACATACGATAACACATCATGACGGACCAAGGCAAGATGACAGGATGTCAGGCAAGGAAAACAAACTCAGACACCCTGCTCATCGACTGAAGAAAGTAGAAACCCCAAAACCAGTGCTCTAAAATGCCCTTAAGAGCAATCTAGATTGTATAGCTGCAGTAAGTGAGCTAAAGACGGAAGCCGCAGTAGAGTCTCGAGACCTCATAAGACTTCATAAGACGGTTGGTAGTGGAAGTAGATGAATAAGTAGTCGTGAAGACCAGCACTCCACAAATCCGCGGACAAATAAGTAGTATTACTTTCCGGACAAACCCAGTATGCCGATGGATAATATTCAGAATATTAAAGAAATTTACATTCCCACTTTAATAATGTATGAAACAATTTTTGCCTGATGCGAATATTGAAAATATATGTACGTATACAACAAATGTCAATGTCAAATCACAAATGGTGTCAACAAGCGTTACATTAAAAACTGGCGCCACATTACATACGCGAAAACAAGTGACTTGGAAATTTTTGTTGGAATGCTATGAGACGTTGTCAATTTTCATTTTCTACACGAACGAAGTGCTTGTAAGCAAAATCAAAGTGTCACACTGTGCAGCAGGCATTACAGGAATGTGTAAGAATGCATATTGTGTGTATTCACTTAGCTATAAATTTGATTTATTGACATTAATAACCTTGAAAATTATAATAAAATGTCGCCAACCACTATCTTAATCTGCATTAAGAGGTCTATCAGAAGTTTTATTACTGTCAGACAGTAGTAAGTCTCACCTAATATCGTCTCGACAAATGAAGGCCTTATTTGAAGAAAAACAGCTGGCCCTTCTTCCAAGAGACGGTGTTACAAAACGAGTAAACTTCCCAAAGAGGTTAAAAGTTACCTTCCGCAACAAGACGGACTGGAATAATTACAGGTCGGACCTTGTACTGAGTCGCAAAATAATTTGGTTGTATACTGAAGGCTCGAAAACAAGGGAAGCTATTGGTGTAGGTATTGTAGGACCGCACAACGAAGTACCTACCTTCCCTATCCACAAGCTGTTTTCCGAGATATTTCCAGCAGAGGTTTTTTCTATAAATTAAGTCTTTGTGTAGAAATTGAACTCAACCATCGCAAACAACACAACGCCATACTCAACGATAGTGCGGCACAAAAAGCGATCTCAGCCTTGGTTTAGGAGCACATAGAACGAACGAATAGTCTTTCGGTTTACAACCGTGTACACTTGATCTGCG